TTTTAAGTTTAAAAATTCTAAACTTAATTTGACTTCTTTGACCTTTAACAATTTACATAAAATTTATTCTAGCACTAACTTAACTTTAGAAGATTGGTTTTTATAAAAGAGTAGTAACAAATTATAAATAAATATTTTTTTTTTGAAATATAACTTTATTGAATTTTATTTAATAATAAATAGATAGTATATTCTAGTATAGCTCTCTAAATATTAATGCTATATAATTTTAAATAAACAAGGCTGAGTCAATATTTAAAATATATACATACAGTATATATACTGTATATATAATTAATATATTGTGAATAAGTAAATAATAGTAAAAAAAACTCAAAAAAATTCTTTCTGTTAATCCTCTATCCATACATAAAAAAGATGTTTGCAAGAAATTTTTTTATTTCTTTGTTAATAAAATCTTAAACCTACTTAAAGTTTTACTTTAAAAGATACTTTCAAATCCTTTCTCTTGTTTATATTTGTTTTCAAACATAAACTTGGCTTCTTGTAACCTAGAAAATTCAAAAAACACCTTCATTATTTATAGCAAAAAAGTTCTGTAAAGAAGAAGAACTAATAGTATAATACTTGAAACTTTTCATATTAAAGCATATCTATAAAGGTTATTTGTAGTATGAGATAGCAAACATTAAGCCATATTTTCAAAATATCTGTCCATTATTTCTTCTCTCTTATAGTTACCCAAAAATTTTTTGGTTTTCTAAAAAATTTTGTCTACTTCAGTTTGATATTGAATTTTAGGTGATACAATCTATTGCAAAATATGATTAACGAATATAAAATAATTAATAGCTAAATATAAACAAGTACCTACTGATTATCTTATATGTTCCAATGATGTCATTGTTGATAGAAAGAGTTGATTGGTGTCTTGTTCCTGCTCTGTTCCTTCAATTGGATTAACCTACAGATCAAGTACTATTAGGTCAATAAGATATGAGCAACAAATTCCTAGGTGTTAAAAAGTTACCTTTTGTTTAAGCTGATATCTTTTTCTTTTATTATTCTGATCAAACAAAGTTCAAGACCAAGGTCTCCTTTTTATTCTGATCAGATATTAAAACTAAATAGTCTTTAGTTCATGCTAAGCTCTGACTTTTTGGTTACAGTTGAAAATGCATTTCCTCAGAAGTTATTGAAGGATATTGTAATCGATGAGGATCCCTGATACTTTTAAAGCCCTTCTACCATTATAAAGCAAAAGAATTATTGGAGAATCTGACCTTTTGAATAATGATGGATCTCTAAAATATTTAGTATATAAAATTTTACTGATCACTTATGTCCCTTTTTGAGGAACAAAATTCATAGCTCTTTACTTTGATAGGGACAAAAGTCAGGAAATGCTATAAATCAATGATTTGAATAATAAAGAACAATTGTGTATAGTTTTTTTATAGTTATTGATTTAAAATTTTTAATATTTTCTAGTGAGGAACATTTGACTTTTGTCCATGTCTCTTCTGTTAGGGACTCATCTTTACTTTTGGATAATGAAATATATATATCAATAAAATTTCTTTAACTAGACATAGTTGCTGGAAGGTATTATACTAAAACAACATAATTCAATTTATACTGGATTATATAAAAACCTGGAGTCCATCATAAATTGCCTCTTTACTGCAGGTGGATAAAAAATTACTGCTTAAAGAAAATTGAAACAAAGTATATCCTAGAAGTAAAAGTTTTTACTAGGTGATAAGTTTATTAGATAGTACACAAGAAGGAAGAATAAATAAGTTTCTCAAATGGTTAAGAGAAGAAAGAATATCCTAATCAGTTATTTTTTATTGAAAAGAAGTATTGAGAAGTAGGTTTTTGAAGGAAACTATAGAATTTTATTTTTTTTTCTTTTTGTTTTCTTATATATCTACTTGGACATTTTTAGATATATCTTTCTCTTTTTTTCAATCTATTCTTTTGTAGTTTTCTATATTCTAGTAGCTTGGTATAATATATGGCAGTGACAACCTGTTGATAATAATGCAATATACTAGGAGGGTTTTTACCTAAAGATACTGTGGAGCAAAATATTATTCTAAGATCAACTGAAGTTAAAGACTTTTATGCCTATAATGATTTAGTTAGATAGAATAAAATAGTTTAGCTATAGTATTTATCATACTGCTTGAATAAAAATGTACTTATATTTTCAATTAATTAATAAACTCACAATCTAGTCTGGCTATGGATACTCAAAAAAAAAATACAAAAAAAAACTCTTTCTACTAATCTTTTGACTATATACAAAAAAGATATTTGCAAGAAGTTTTATACTTCCTTGCTAATAAACTCTTTATACTTTTATTAAAACAACTTAAAGATTGTCTTCAATTATTTCTACTACCCTTCTTTACTTGTTTATAAACTCCTTTGAATAAAAATTTGGATCTTTAGTAACCTGAATAAACTCAAGTATATACTTTTTTTACCAAGGGCAAAAAGGTTCTAGGAAGTAAAAGTACCAACAAGTAGAATATCATCTTAAAGAGTTGGAAGTAACAAGAATAGAGATTTTATTGGCAGGAGAAAACTTATTAGTCACCTTTTCACATATTGTTTGGTGCATTCTTAGAGTTTTATTATTTTATGATTTTCTTGAGGAATTTTGTCTACAACAATTTGATCCTGAATTTCTGGTAGCACAATATCACTTGAAATCTGATTAATTAATATAAAATATATTAATAACTGAATATAAACAAGTCCTTATTGATCACCTTACATGTTCCAATAATATTATTGATGATTGAAAGGGTTGATTGATATCCTATATTTCTTATTCTTTCAATTGGGTTAAACTATAAATCAAGTTATATAAGACTAATAAGATATACTATAAGCAACAAGTTCTCAGTTAGTGAAAAAGCTGCTATTAATTCAAGCTGAGATCTTTCTTTCTTATTTTTCCAGTTAGACAAAGTTCAAGATCAAGGTCATTTTTTCATCCCAGTCAGGCAATAAGATCAAATGGTCTCTAGTTTATACTAAGCTTTAATTATTTGATTATATTTAAGAATACATTTCTCTAAAAGTTGTTAAAGGATATCATAATTGATAAGAATCCCTATTACTTTTCAAAACTTTCTTATTTTTACAAAACAAAAGGATTGTTAAGAAGTCTGGTTTTTTGAGTAATAGAAGATATATATTAGTAAAATTTTTTTGATTAGAATGATTGCTGAAAAATATTATACTAAAACAATATGGCTCAATTACTATTAGGTTACATAAGAACCTGGAATCCATTATAAGTTGTTTCTTTATAACAGAAGAATAAAAAATCATTACTCAAAGAAGGTTAGAACCAAGTGAGTTTTAGAAGTAAAGACTCATATAAAGTGATAAGTCTCTTTAGATGGTATACAAAAAAGAAATTAAAATCAAGAATAAATAAATTCCTTAGATGATCAGAAAAAGAAAAGATATTCTAATTTGGTATTTTTTATTAAGAAGAAGTTTTGAAAAGCAGGTTTTTGAAAAAAGCTGAAAAATTTTTTTTCAAATTTTTACTCTTTCATTTTCTTATTATTTACTTAGACATTTTTAATATCTCTCACTTTTTTCAATTCATCTTTTTGTAGTTTTCTGTATTTAAATGGCTTGGTATGACATACAACAGTGACAACCTGTTAGCAATAATGCAGTGGACTAGAAAAGTTTTTACTCAAAGATACTGTGAAGTAAAATATTGTCCTCAAGACTAAACTTAAAAGTTCTTATGCTTATGATGAATTAGTTAGATTAGAATAATAGTTTAGCTTTAGTATGTATCATACTATCCAAATAAAAATGTACTTATATTTTCAATTGATTAATAAACTAACAATCTAGCCTGGCTATAGGTACTCAAAAAAAAAAAAAAATTAAAAGTTTTTATCAAAATTATTTAAATCAATATATTTAAATTTTTTATTTTTTTTAAAAAAAAAAACTAAATTTTAGAAATATTATATTAAAATTAGATTTTTACAAATTTTTAAAAAAAATTCTAAATTAATTTTATGAATTAAAATTTATATAAATTAGAATATATGATTTTTTTTAATTTTTCATTAGTTTTTTTTTTTAAAAATTATTTATTATAATAAAAAATATATTTCGTAAAATTGTAACATACTTTAAATTGTTTTTTTTTTTTTAATTTTAAACCTTTAAATTATTTTTTAAACTTTAAATAATTTTATAATAAAATTATTAATAAATAATCAAATAAACTTTAATAGAAATTTTTTTAAATTTTAAAAAATTTTTATAGTAAAATTAAACTTATTACATTATCTGTAATGGGGTTTTTTGTGCTCCTTAAAAATTGATTATGTAATGTACAAAAAAATATAAATTGTAAGTTACGAATTCTATATGAAATGTTACGTACAAAGATCAGGATATGTAATAGTTGGACAAATAGTTCATACATATTAATTTCATTCGAGATGGTAAAGCAATCTCTTTTCTTTCGAATACGAGTGCAGGAAAAATCATGGTATTTCAATTTCCACAAATTATATTTTGCTTGCTGCGTTGACTTGTAATTTTGTTTTGTTTTCTAAAATTCACCTTTACTTTTTACGATTTATTTGATATATAAATTAGATGAGGGTCGGAACAGTCTGATTATTATATAATCTGAAAGGCTGAAGAAGATCGCCAATTTCGTGAAAAATAAGCATATTTGCCTTTCACGCAGTCCTCCATTATCAGGAAAGAGTACTCTTAGACAGGTGCTCCGAGATTATTTCGAAAGTCTCAATTATGATGGTGTATACATTAGTCTTGTTGGTATAAATGGTAAAAAAGCAATCTACGACGAGGGACTCTTCGAAAATTTCTGGGAGGGGAAAGTAGATAGAACCTGGACAGAAATCAGTAAACGCAAAAAGGCTACTTACATGTTCATCGATGAGATACAGATTATCTATGATAATCACGCTCCATTCTTTTGAGGTAGAGTGAAGGATCTTTTGTCAAGCGAATCAAATCTTCAAAATTTTTGGATAGTTTTGTTCGGCACATACCATCCAAACTTGATCCATAAACGACACCAGTAGAATTCATAGTACTTTAGGTTTGAATGACATGACATACTTCTAGGGTGGGAAAAGGTCTGCCGGCTTACAGAAAATTATGTTCAGTTGCACGCAACTCAGGGAAGCGATCTCTTCAAAAACCCTGAAATTATTCAGAGGGTAATCTTTGATCTCACTGGCGGACATCCTGGTTTATGTCGATTAATTTTGTCAACATTCGGAATCATGTTCGTAATTTTGATGAAGATACAACAGTAATGAATATGTTGCAGTATCTTGCTTTATCAGAATTATTAAATAGCATAACAGATTCTTCTCGTGCTTTTTAATGGATCCATGATTGGAAGCAAAATGAAGAAGCAACCGAATTTATTCGCAATATACTACTTTTCAGTCAAATAAAGCTCCATTTTTCTGTTAATTATAATTCAGATACTATTTCTAAGAGTTTTATAAGGCAGGTGTCTTTGCCATGGTTGATGAAAAAATACAATTTACAGCATTCATCATGCGAATTATCCTGAGCCACCGTCTGTTTACCTCCCCTATAAGATCTAGATTCTGTAACATCCTTAGATGATTTTTTGTACAAACCGTTGAACTCATGAGCCCATCTAAGTTGTTTAAATTACTTGGAGAAAGCGCTGAATCCAATTCACGTTTATTTGAGAGGATTTGGCAGATGGAGTGATATCGTGTAGCCACTAATTTAGTCCCAGCGGAAGCATCAATAAGTGCTAATGTTGGCCCTGTGTTTGGCTCGGCTAGTTTTTTTAGATTTTTATGTCCATAAAATTTTTTGCTGGAGTAATGAGTTCACCCGTGAGGGTGATCGTTTGAAGGAACATGCACGATTTGAAGAAGATAGTGATTATGCAAACATTTCATTGAAAGATTGGGCCACCATTGACTTTCGACATTATACAAAACAAATAAGAGAATTAAAGCGAACTTCTATGAGGATAACTATGAATATATTACTATAAAACGTCGCGATCAAGGTGATAAAGTCCTTGCCTTACATAATGATAAAGTGTAAGTTCGTAGTGCTGGATGACCTTTTGCATTATACAGAAACTGTGTTTATTATAATAAAAAATTTTATTGAGTTACATCGTACAAATATAATAAATGAATGGATTAATGAATTAGAGGAAGTAATCGATCCCTAACCCATAAAAATGAGAGTTCCTTCCCACTATAGTCCATATTTTTGCTATTTATCCAGGACCTATTTTATCTAAGTTGCTGCTTTTTTTTATTATATCTCTACCAATTTTTCACACTCCTGGATTAAGAATATCAACAGATACAATATCACACATATCATACCGTCTTCTCGCATATACTGTATGCTCGAAGCCAGAGAAAAAGTTAAAAACACATAGCCTTCATTTTTCCGAACATGAGAGGAAAAAGGATTACCGAAGTAATATATGAAAATGATCGTTGACTCGAACCAGAAGAAGTTTCGGATTGATTTGCATCACTTTGTTGGTCAGATCAGGATGGGTCATTATCTCGAAGTTTGATACTTCGTGCCTGAATAATGGAATAGCGTCGATCAATTTCGTTTTGGAGTATTGAGATAGCGCCATTGATTGATTCGAATTCGGTTGCGACTCTAACAAAATTGTTATGATAGTTTTGAAGAACTTGTTCGATATCATCAAGTCTCGCGGTAGATGTATTAAGCATTGTCAAGATTCTTTGGACCTCTGCTGTAAAGTTTTCGTGGCGTGAGGTAAGTTCGGTTATGAATGCTGGCATCACGATTGGCAAGCTCAGTGGTGAGTCGGGCATTATTAAACATGGCATCACATGTAAAAGGGTTGGAATTATGCTGTCTTGCTTAGTGGTTCGTGAAAAATAAAGCGTGGCACCGATGATCAAGTAAATGGAGATTTTCTCGACGAATATCATAGGCTAGCGAAATCGAAAAATAGAGCAATTCCAAAAACAGCAAGCAATGACATCTATAACCGGAAAATTATTAGTTAGCATATATACAAGAGTGTGAGAGGCGTATGCACACAACGAATTGGTAGTTCCGCTAACATCAAATGTTTTATTTCATTAATTCGTAGACAGAGTTTCTTCATCTTTTTATAAGAAATTCATAGATTAACATTTATTTATAGCTAGTGACTATGACACATAAATATCTGGCTAGAACCTACGAGAAGTTTTATTGTAAAGCAAGATAACGCGCTGCACCTTACGTCAACGATACATATAACGTTTATTGCTCGTGCCTCAAATTCAAATCGAATTAATTTCATTAATAAAAGGCACTCGATATATTATATTTTTTATGGACACTAAAGGCTCTCAGCTAATGAAATATCACTGTTCGTTGTTCGTACAAATGCATTACCTGAGCTAGGCTCTATGCAAGAATATTACTCCGTCAATTATAAGTTTGTTAAAAACTGTCTTAGGAGATTCGGCAGGAGAGGCAATGGCCGAGGGCCTATACAAAAGCATCACCCCCAAAAGTTTAGAAATTAGAAATAATAAGACAGGAGATTTTGCAGGAGTAGCGTTGGCCAAAACTTTACGCAATAGTAATCAGATAGGATATTTAGCAAGAAAATTGTTTATTTGCAAAAATACTATTCTAAAAAATTGGATGTGAGTAATAATGAGATAGAAAACTAGGCAGGAAAAAGACTACTCAAGGATTTTTGCAATAATGCCCCTTAACCAAGTTTAAATTTAAAACGAACAAGTGAAGCATTAGCTAATCCGCTATGCAAGAACATCACCCTGTCTAAATTGGATAAGTCCAAATACTGTACGTAATAGAAAAGAAAAAAATAAGAGGTTACACATCAGAATTTCAGAGAAAAATTTTATAGCAAGAAATATTATGCAAAATCAAGCTTTAACAATATTTTTGTTAATTTTAAATACTAGAGGATAAGAAATTTATTAATATAGAAATTATTTAGCGTTAATTAAATATCATTCTTAAATTCTAATTTTATTTTTTTAAAATTTAAAATATTGCATCTATCGATTTTATTTTATATTAAATTCGCATGGATTCATACAACATTTTGCATTGAACTCCCTCGGATTCATGCAGCACAAACAACCAAAACGATGAAGAAATGCAAATGGGAATGTGGTACCTAGGGAAATACAATACTTTGATACTCATACCTTTGACTTCTGAGGAGTTCACAGTCATTCACGTTGCGGAGATACGCAGCCGTGTCCGAATCAATTGCACGTTATCAGCCGCGCTCACATCACTAACACGTTGGGTGTACAGCATGTTTGAGTTTTTGTTAAAAAGTTTAATTTTCAAATAAAGTCGGCAGCTGAAGCAAGAAAGGGTGGAAGATACGATAAACCGGAGAGCAACGTTTCGGGCAAGCAGAAGAAAATATAAAAACAGAACATTATGAAATCATTTCGCCCTTTATTAAGTAATCATTCAAACATTAAGCAACACACATTACATCATTTATACAAATCTGACACCAAATCTTTGCGAAAATTGCCTTCCTGTGATTTGTCTGTTCTATTGCTTAAATAAGGCACGGTCACCCGAAAAAGAAACTCGCAATTATAAATTTTAGGTAAGTACGTATATTTATTTTATTTTTTTACCTATATACACGTGAAAATTTTTTTATTTAATTAATGTTTTGTCGACCCTCCGTTTGCAAATTTAAATGATTCTGGATATTATATTTTAACAATTTCCGGATATTTTCAATTGAATTTATATTAGATGAGTTTACATATCAATTAATAATTTGAATATTATCTTAAGGCCAGATGTGCGAATGAAAAGTTTTTTTTTGTGAAAAAGTGAGAGAGATCTAATCTATTCAATTATACATAAATTTGCTGCTGTTTGTGGATTGGATTTGAGCTATAGACTGTTTAAAATTTCATGTAATTATGTGCAACATTTTTCTGCCTCTTGGAATTCATATTTTCTTATTTATATAATTTAATTCTGTGTAGGCCAAAATCCTGATTATGTTTTTTATGAATACGTTAAAAAGTGACAAAAAATAATAAATATAAGCGCAAAAAAAAGACAGTAAAAAAAAACAAGTCGGGCATCACTTTTTAGGGTGACAGCACATATTGCTTGTTATCTTTACAATGTAAATTAAATAATAATAATAATGATAATAATGATAATAATAAATTGGACAAAAATCTTATGATAACTTTATGTCATGTTTGCTCGATTGTGACTACTATCTTTTTTTATTAGCTTGTAACATCGAACGTAGTGTTGCGGAGGATAATGCGAGTTTGTCAATAACTTGTACTTACTTAAAAAAAATTACAACAATATATTGTGAGGTGGCAATATTAGCGTGAGTTTCTAAGGATGGTTTATTCTTTTTTATTCATTAAAAAACACGCTAAAAATTCGCCAGCATCGAAACATTTCATGTCTTTTCTTGGTTTGCGTAATAAATTTGTAAAGCTTTGCTAATCTCATTACTACGTGTTTGCGCTATATTTATTAGTGGTTGCGCGCAGCCACTTAGGTATTAAATAATTTTTGTAGTGTAGATGCACTATTGTTACTTCATATTCTATGATTTCTACCAGCTTTATGTACTGGACACATCCAAAAGCCAAGTCAAATTTTTCAGGTTACTCCTTGATAACATTTCTAAAATGCTTATGATGGAAGCACAACAATGGAAGCAAATATGAAAGAACAGGAATAAATATTACGTGCAGAGAAATATTTCTATACAAATGCTTTCTTGCGTCACACATCTATGATAATACTTGACCTTTATTGCACGAAAATAGTCGTGTGACATTTTTTACCATTTTAAATTAATAACTTATCGTAAAAAAGAAGAAACACAATTGAATGATGTCAAAAAGCAATTTGTGGCGTGATCATAAATTATAAATTAAATAAAATTTTTCATGGTCCCGTCGTGTTGCATCTAGAGAGGTTTTACTATATATTATTCCTAGTTACTTTTTTTCTTTCTTTCTTTCTTTCATTTTAATGACGAACTTTGAGATTTAAGTGAATATCATCATACAAAATTATGTAGGGGTAGGATTAGAGAAAAAACCCCAATAGTCAACTAATTTTCTTGTAAATTGCGATCCGTAAAGAAATCAATTTTTAAACCATTTTAACCATAATATTAGGATAGTGATGCAGTTATATAAGTGTAAAATATGCTTGTTGAAATTTAGTATTGATAAATTAAACATAATAAAATAGTTAAGCCTCATACAAATATTGCCCTGATAATTATAAGTCGTTTGACTTTTTATACTCGAATAAAATACACATGAAAAAATTGATAATAAACAATGTTTTTTATATGATTTCAATCATATAAAATCCACAAATACGTAACACTGTCATTAACGTTAATTATTTATACGGATCTCTATGAATTTTTGAAATGAAAATATGAATGTACATACAAGAAACTACGCTTACAAAACTATTAGTATAATGTGTAATCACAAAATAAATAATTTTTATTCTATATTTTAAAAGTTGTGATTTTGTGTTGATAAATGGACATCAATATAAATCACGTAAACGTAAAATTAGTTATTGCATCGAGCTCGTGCGGTCGAAAAATACAAAATTTCGAGATGATTAAAATTTTTAGTGATAGTCTGGCAGTATTAATGTAACTAATTATAGAAGGTTACATTGTCACGACATTTGCATAAAATGACGCATCAGAGACCAATTAGTTTTTCAATCAAACAAAACGTTTTAAACAAGTGAACTCTCATTGCTCAAAATAAACAACAACAAAAACAAAAAATAACACCATGGCCCGCGGAAACAATCTTATCAATGATCTAAAACTCTTGGTTAACAATCCTCAATATAGTGATTTAGAAATTAAATGCAAGGATGGTACCATCCTCTACGGAAACCGCGCAATTCTTGCTGCTCGTTCTGAAGTTTTCGACAGAATACTTTTTATAAGGACTAGCGAAATCTCCGATAAACAAGTATCATTTCAAAAAATAGAAGCTTCGGTTATGAAGATTATTCTCGAGTATTTATATACTGGGTCAATTTCTGATGGAACCTTATCAACAGAAAATGCATTCGAAACTTTAAACGCAGCAGATTTTTTTCAATTAAAGAACCTTCAAGATCAAATTTCAGAATTTTACATGAAAGCAAGTCAGAAAGAAGGAAATGATAATAAATCCCCCGAGTTGTTATCAAAAGCAGTTCAACTTATGTCTTTAGCAGCTAATAATGGAATTATTGATTTTTTGGTGGACTCTGTGGCTAGACTTCCATTAGATACTATCACACCCGATCGACTGTCTTTTCAAGCATTGCAGTGTTTATTATCCAAGTCAAATGATGAAAATAAAATTTTTGTTACAAGTGAATATTCCATATTGCGGATTGCAATTTTACTGTCTGCGAAGAAAGTATCTCAAGAAGCTGTTACTGCGTTAGAAAAAAGATTGCCAGTATGGGATAAAATCAAAGATGGATTTGACTTTAAAAATAATGATATATCCAATATTAAGGATATTTGCGTTGCTACCGCTGATAATTTGTCACCCATTATCGAATTTATCGATTTCCGACGTATTAATGGCAAAATCCTTGTTGATATTATTGAACCATTGAATTTGATTTCATCTGGAAAACTGTTGACGGTTTATCGTTTTCATACTTATGAAAAAAAGCACCCATCACCTTTTCGCGGTTTAAAATCTCACATTAAATGGGATAATAATAGCTGTGGTCCGAATTTAGAAATCAGCTCTGACGGATGCACAGTATCACGTAAAGTCAACCCAAATGTATGGAATACTGTTAGGACAAACTACTTGATGATCGAAGGAATTCATAAACTTCGTGTTAAAATTGAAAACAGTAATTACACAATGATTGGTATCTGTGAAGAAGGAATTAATTATTCTGATTATATTGGAGCATCATTATATGGCTATTGTCTATATTCAGAAGGCTTCCAATATATAAAGGGTTCGTGTGAGAACATTAATTCTCCTAGATTTGGTAATGTAAGTAGCGAAGTTATTGTGCACTTAAATATGGATGATAAGACATGTGAAATTTCTGTCGATGGAAAAGAGAATGTTGTAAGATGGACCAATATTCCATCAAAATTATATTTCGCTGCATCACTATATAATTCCGGAAATGTAACAATTGCAAAAGGAAATTAAAATGAATCGAGAATGACAAAATATATTTATCCTATAAAATGGTTTATTAAATAAAAACATAGGATTTTTTACCCTTATACAGTACATAACAGTTAAAATATTGTATATTTACAGTATATTACAATTAATTTATTTATTGATATTTATACTATTTATTGATATAAATTTATTGTTGATTGCAACTTTTAATGCTTTTATTTATATCGATTTACAGTACAAACAAAAATATACTATACGTACTTTGTACAAATAATAAATAAATTCATATTTACCTTCTTTATGCTCATATTATTGATCATATTTTTTATAAACATATTTTAATGTATTTTATAAAACAAGAAAAGTATTACTTTTTGATATTTCTATTAATAAATATTTAAGAAAATAATTAAAATACTTTAAATTATAATTAAAGAAAACCATTACTTTAAAAAAGACTTTATTTTATAAATATATATTTTCTTTTTATTTTTTGAATAATATAGAATAAATGACTTTACAGATAAATATTCATTAAACTAATATAATATAATCTTGATTTTAAAAAATAATTAATTAAAATTATTTTTACGATATAATAAATTTTTGTTGAAATTTAAAATTTTAAAATATTACTTTTATTAAATTTTTAATAATTTTTATATAAATTCAAAAATACAATAAAGAAATATATAATATAATAAAATTAGAATATCATCTAATAATAGTTATTAGTTTAAATATATTAAAAATAATTATTAGTTTAAATCTATTAAAAAATAATTATAAGTTTATTTTATATCAATTAATAATTTTTAATAAATTATAATAATATTAATTATAAAATTTACATTTTAATTAAGTTAAATAATATAAAAAATAAGATTCTTGATTTTTTGATTAAAAATTAAAATCAAAATTTTTATTGTTAAAAATATTATATAAAAAAGAATCAAATTTTAATATAATTTTATTAAATAGTTTATCATAATTAAAAAAATTAAATTTCAACAATTATATTTTAATTTAATACTTTTTTAAATAAAAAATTAGAATAAAAACCTATTTATAATACTATATATTATAATATTTTATATTTTAAAAATAAAAATTATATTTAATAAATTTATAGATTTATAATATATTAATAATATATTTAAATTACTAATCCAAAAATTTTAAGTTTAATACAATATCAATATTTATATTTTTTAATCAATAAAAATATATTAAAGTAATTTTAAATTATAAACTTTTTTTTTAAAAAAAAAATATTAGCTCATCTTTGTATTAAAATAATAATATTTTATTAAGATAAAAAAATAACCAAAGAAAACTAGAATAAATAATTACATTATCTGTATTATTAAATAATTTATAAGTTAATGAATAGTATAGAAAACAAACTATTTATGTTTTATTCATCTAAAATAAGATAATTACATTATTATTTAGTATAAATATTTTATTTACAAAATAAAAATAATAAAATAATTTTTTTGAGTATCTATAACCAGGCTAGATTGTCAATTTATTAATTAATTAAAATATAAATATATTTTTATTTGAGCAATATAATACATATTATAGTTAAATTATTATTCTAATCTAACTAACTTATTATATATATAAAAGTCTTTAAGTTCAATCTTGGGAACAATATTTTGCTTCACAATATCTTTGATTAAAAATTCTTATAGTCCACTATATTATTATCAGCAGGTTGTCATTGTTATATATCTAACCAAGCTACTGGAATACAGGAAACTACAAAAGAATTGGTTGAAAAAAGGGAAGGAGAATATCCAAAAATATCTAAGTAAATAATAAGAAAATGAAAAAGTAAGAATTGTTTATATTTTGTAACTAATGTATTTTATATCAATCAATTAGATACTAGATGACATTATGCTATTAAAAATTTAGGATCAAATTGAGATAGACAAAATCCTTCAAAAAAATTATGAAAAACAGTAGATATTCTAAGAAGATACAAAATAGTATATAAGAAGATGAATAATAAGTCTTTACTTGTTAATAAAATATCTATTTTTGTTACTTCATGCTCTGTAAAGTGACACTCTACTTGTTAGTCCTTTTACTTTCTAGAACCTTCTTGCCCTTAATTGAAAAAATATATACTTGAGTTTTTTTAGGCCACTAGAGATCCAAGTTTTTATTTAAAGAAGTTTATAAACAAGTAAGAGTGAGTAATAGAAATATGTTTAAGTTGTTTTACTGAAAGTATAAAGACTTTATTAGTAAGAACATATAAAACTTCTTGCAAACATCTTTTTTATATATAGTTAGAGAATTAATGTTAAGAGTTTTTTATCAAAATAATAAATAATGAAAAATGTAAAATATATATTAAATTACTTTTCTATTTTATATTACAATACTCTTTAGAGTCATTATCTACTGAATAACTTATTACTATTTCAAAACTATAAAAAAAGTTTAATATGTCAAAAATTTATTTGTAGTATCCAATACTATTAAAAATAAAAATCTCTTATATTGAACCTTAACTCCACCAGTGCTTAATTAAAAATTTTAAATATATTATTATATAAAATTTTTTTCAAAAAATCAAATATTTATTTATATAGTATAGTTATATTTATTGGAAAAAAAAAGATGGGAAATAGTATTTATATTTAGTATATTCTAATTCAAACTTGTTTTATTGTTTAGCAAATAATACAATAAATTTCATTTTTTTTATCCTCTTATATAAAAATAAAAATAACTTATAATAATAAACTTTAAGTTATTATAAGTATTAAAAAAATATATTTAAATATTAAAGTAATCAATAGATACTTGTTTACATTTTGATTACTGATATATTTTAATTATCTAATTATTGCATAAGAAATTTTGTGCTACTCAAAATTTAAGATCAACTTAGACAAGTAAAATTCTTTAAATAAAATTATAAAAAAGCATTATTAAAGCTCAAACAATAATAAGAGAGTAGTAAAATTATTATTCAAAAAAGTTTTTTATCTTATTAAAAGCTTTATATTATTTCTTTAATAGATAGAAAAAAGATAATAAGTTAGTTTTATTTCTTTTTAAAACTTTTATACCATTGATAAAAAGATAAGTTTTGTTTTTATAGTTATAAAAGGATAAGTTTTTTTATAGAAAAATATAAAAAAAAGATAGAAAGTTATTTTCAAGTTGATTTAAGTAGATCAGTAAGATTTTATTAACATAGAAACATAGAAACTTCTAGTAAATATCTTTTTAATATATGATTAAAATTAATAAAAGAGTTTTTAATATAATTATAAACTATAAAATATTTTATATAAATAATTATAATTTATTTTTTTTAAAACACTTAACCTACCTATTTTATTGATTGTATGTATTATATATATTTAATTTATAAAGTAATTTTATATATTGTTTTTATATTATAAAATTAATCAATATCAAATATCTACTGTCAATAAAGTGAAGCTCAATTTTTTTACTTTTATAATATGTTATATCTAAAAAAAACTAATATGCCTAGATACTATTAGTATATTTAAATAAGATATTATAAATAGTTAGAATATCTATAAGAATTTATTCCAATATTATCATTATCAAGATTTTTTTTTTGTAATTTGTGCTGATATATTTTTCTGATATTTTTGTTCTTGAGATTTAAATTTTTTCTTTTGTTTCTTGATAGTACTTTTAATACACATGACTTTTTTCTATATTTGAATACAATTGTATCTGTCTGTTTAAATATTTTATATTATGAATCTAATATTATGAATAATACTATATATGACTTTTACAATTTTGTCTACTAATATAAATAGATTCAAAAGTTTGATAGCTTGTCTATTATATTAGTTTATACTAATATGTTTCTAAAATAAATATTTTTCAAATGGTTTTTTATATTTTTCCTAATTTGATGTAAACTAAATTTTTCAGTTTTTGCTGTAATTTCTATATAAATGGTTTTTTTTTTTTTTTTAATCTGCAATCATACCACAATAATATGCCTTTATTGAGATATTGAGAAATACCTAAATATTTTACAGACTTTCACAAAGTAATTAACTTATCATTGTACATTATTAGTTAAAGGACTACACTACTTAAAAAATATGAGAAGTCTATTAAGCTAGTTCGAACTAAACAAAACTAAGTCTAAACTAAGTACTCTAAGTTAGATTTAGGAGACAATATTTCACTCTCTTAATAGTTTGGCAATAGTGCCTCTAAGTCTACCAGGGTCATTGCCAACAGTTTGTCACTATAAATTATCCTGAAAAATAATGAATTGCTAAAGTTGACACTGGAAAAAGGGGAAAGGGAAATGCAAATCAAAGCCTTCCAAAAGGTTCTTGCTTCATTTTACAGTTTCCTCTCGAAAGGGGTTTGCCTAATTGGGATATTTTTTAAGCTTCATGATGTTTGAGGAACTTAGTTATTCTTGAAAGTAACTTTAAGAAGAATGTTTGAAGAACTTATCCTTCTTCTGATGTACGGATTCACTTATCACTAATGAGACCAGTGCCATATTATGGAAGAGTTTGCTTAACCAGGATAAAGAAATCTTTTCAAGAACTTTGTCTGACCAGGATAGAAGCTTGAAAACCTCAGCTTTTGTTCAAAAAAACCTTTTCACCACCTGAGGAACTTAATGAGAGATGAGAGTTGAATCTTCTTTTCGTATCTGTCGCTCACCTTTCGGTATCATAATTGTTTCCTGAAGATTGAACATACACAATTGAAGGGGACACTTTTTCTAGAACTTTCTTTCCTATATCACCAATGATGTATTGAACACGTGAGTATGACCAATAGGAGCTTGTTTACATTTCAAAACCTGATGTATTTCGTGTCAGTCAATTACCTTTGGTGAGGATTTGTGCTACCAAAAATTCAGGGTCAAACTGAGGTAGACAAAATTCCCTAGAAAACCATGAAAGCGATAGCTCTAAGAGGCCCAACAGTGATTGGAAGAGGAAAAATAAGCCCTTCTGTCATCAAAAACCTCT